CCGCATTGCCTCATTCAACACCAATCAGGCAAGGAAAGAAGGGCAAGTCTTAGATCCTAGTGCCAAAGAAAAGACTAAATCTGAGCCAAGGGCAATATGCATGATACACAGCTTTCTCTCCAGCAAAAAAGTCTGCCGCCCATAGGTTCTCAGTTCACACTGAATGGTTTTAAGGGCATTCCATGCCTTTGAAAAACCGCAAAGCATGTGGCAGTCTGGGCCATGTACACGCGAAGACGCTGCGGAGCTTGGATCTGTGTTTTGACTGACATAGTCAATGCAGTGCAACCTGAACAAACGCTGACTGACATTTTGATCCATATGTGTCAAATTATATTGCAACAAATTGCATTATATATATATATTGTTTTTGTATATTGTAGAAAACTATTGTAAACAAACCACACCTCACAAGTTACTGATGCCAAAGAAAGACATGATTGCTGGCAGTCCCAACGCCAACATGAAATGAAGGCATTTCTTCGTGGGGCACAAGGGTGACTGACGCCATCCTGACGCCCCAGCCATGACTGTGGGACAAGATGGATGGGGCCCGCAGTCTTTGGACTTGAGAACGCTGCCAGATCAACCTTATACACCTGCATCAGCACTGGGTCATTAAGCATTGAACTACCTCGTGACATCACACGCTGTTGGCAATCAAGCAAACAGGACGATTTTCCCATTCAATCTGTGACGTACGCACTGCAACTGCAATCCTAATGTCCTAATGCAGTAACGTCATTGGTCAAAATCAACCACACGGTCTGGATGCACCATCACCCGCAGCATAGTAAATTGAAAGGTCACACTACAAGAATTCATTATATATCTGACATTCCGAGATGAAGGATGCATCAAAGCCCTCTAAGCCATTCGCTTTCCTCACTCGCAGGTAGGAATTTCAACCCACCCTGCCACCAAGCTGGCATATTGCCACCTTGGCCGAGGTAGGAATATAAACGTATATATTATATACATAGACATCAGATCACAAGTTAAGTTTCCACACACACTCCAACAATATGCATCGTTTTGGGCCCCAAGCGCAGTGTCCACCCCACCAAAGCGGCTCCAGGCCAAGGAAACTCCGCTAGAGCTGTTCACCTGCTCTTGCTGACATGGACAATCGAACAATAACCGTCATAACTCAATAATATGACTCCAGATCTAGAAGATATCAAGAATTAGAACCGAGTATCCTGCCTTCAAAGCATCTCCATCTGGCCCTAGATACTGTTTCAAAGCCTGCACCCTTGCTTTGTCCGCGCCGTACACATAGAAGCTGCGGCTGCGGTTGAGCCTGCCAGATCACAAAGTGATATCGATGTGACTCCATGGATATATAAAAATATTTGATAGCACACATGTAAATATCGATAACCACATTTTCCCACAACTGCTGAGGCCCAATCATGACTCCAATTGACGAAGGTGACTCTGCAGGTGCTTTCAAGTCTGTAGGCTTCAAAGTAAACGACCTTGCAAATGTCATTAGAAAGTCTATATACGCAGATGACTTGACTGGATTGTTGTTCACTGATTTTGTAAATAAACTCAATCAACACAAGTTGAGGCTGGCGCTTTTTGTTCCTCCAATCTTTTGGTGGATGAAAGTTCAGCATATGGGGCATCTCGGCTTCCAATGCATTCAAGTCCCGGATGAGATTTGCATTCTCCTGGCCAAAACATATTTATAGTATACATATAGTGAGGGGTTATGATGGGTTACCCGTGCCCAAGAATAGAACAAATCAAGTTAACAGGTCTCCTCGGTCTCTGTGTCTTTCTTCTCCTCCTCATCCTGCCCCTCCTTGTTTCTTCCCTTACCCGTTGTCTTTGCCCGCTTTGGTTCCTTACCCTTGCTTGACGTGCCAGGTGGTTCTGACCGCTCCTCTCCCGCCTTCCCTTCTCCCTTTCCAAGTTCAGTTCCTTCCTCAGGCTCCTTCTCGATCTGCCTTTTCTTTGCTGCCCTATGCTTAGCTTGACGCTTTCCCTTGCCATTGTCTCCACCCTCCTCTCCTTCAAATTCTTCTCTAAGTCTCCTATCCGGGTCCTCAACCTCCTCTTCCTCTTGGTCCTTCTCCTCCTCTCTCACTGCTTTCCGAAGTACCTTCTGTGCCTGTACCAAGATTGCCACCAAACACGCACGTGTGTGTGTGTGTGTGTGTGCATGTGTGCTATTCTAGACCTGCATCACCTACCTTTTCTGGATTTGCTGAGCCGCACCTTAAGCAAATCTGCTTTCGAGCTGCCTTCCAACTCTGCACATTTCTCCTCTACCTGTTCGAGAAGGCCTTGTGAAAGCTGAGGTGGAGTAGGAGCAAGGGGTTTCGTGTCCTTGACACACACATTCTATCACATTCCCATGTATAAGTGTTGGCATGCTAAAATGAATATGAAAATTTGCAAACAATTTACCCAATTGTAAGATTTAACGCTATTAAAGTGGCAGTCCTGGAAGGTACCTTTCGAAGAAGTCTGTCCGCCCTCTTCCACCTCCGCATCACTCTCGAGGTCCAGGTACGCTTGCTCAGGCGCATCTGGCTGAGCGGTGTCTTCTGCAGATGATGGGAATTCAACATGCTCATGATCAAGAACGGTTTCAACATATTCTGAATCCTGTTCTGGTGATTCCTCTTCTGCTTCCTCACAGTCTTGTTCTGTTTCCTCAACCTCTTCAAATTCTTCACATTCTTTTGCGGTCAAGGCATCAGAAAATATGTCGGTGCCCGGAGGCAAGGGTAAGGTCTCTGCTTCATCGATCATGTTGGATGGACATTCCTGCACACGCAATTGAATACTCTCACAGCTCATGTAATATACTTCTCGAGTGCAAAAGATATTTTCTCCTTCGTTGGAGCAGCAGAAGACGCAGCAGCAGGACCACGCGTTGCCTTCTTCTTACCCTCCTCGTTCAGCATCCCAGCAGCCTGACATGCGAGCTGGTACTAATACAATGCATACAAAATTCAATGCTCAAAACTCAAAACCATTGTGTTCTCACAGTTGCAATCACAACATAATTTTTACTTATATGTGCGCATATAAAAGATATGGCAACCGCAGAGAGTTCTTAGCCTTCAGCTTGTAGTGGCAAATTTGCTTCAAGAATCCCATCTTGGTGTGTCCCTTCCTGTGCATCAGGAATTGGTCAGTTCAAATTAATAAAGCAGAATCTAGCCTATGTTGATATCATAATGCACACATGTATATGCACGTCTCCTGCATGAGGGCGTCCGCTGGAATCTGTTGAGGATGTAGGACGCCAAGGCCTTGTTGAGCCCGGCTTCGATCCGTGCCCACGCCTGCCAAAAAAAAGACGCACACGCAGAGCAGGACGAAGTCAAGGTTGCTTCAAAAAAGTTTACAGAAAATGTTCTAAGGCCCTCTCTTTGTGCTGCCCCCCTGGATGTGAATTTGGGGTTCAGAGATTTCTGCATTGATAGGTGAAATAAGATCTCCTCGCATGACTGAACAGGACATCTCATCAAACAATTAGAAAGAGAGTGTCACATAATGTGAATTAATTCATTAAACATTTCATGACAAAACCGTTTGGTCCTCCATTTCAGTTTGCGTAGGCATATTATCTGCGAATGTTGCCAAAAAGGCCGCCGCAAAATGATAGTTTGTATCATTTTCCACCTGCCAACACATGCAACTCGTCGTTTTGTGTGTTGTTGATGAACCGGTGCTCAAAAAATGCATCTATATATATACAAGTCAATCTGCAATCAAATGAAATGCACAGCATTGCCGTCCAAAATGTTCAAAGCACAATTGCCTGGTCCTCACCAATCATTCCCTTGGTGATGTTAACGAAGCTGAAGACCTGACAGGGTGCAAGTTGAGGCGCTGCAAGAGGCAAATACAAACAATGATTAGCCATGTATCAGGCCTTGGATGTATTGGCTTGTTGATCGCGCAAGTCTTTCTTTCGCTTCTTGATGGCATCAGGGGTCGAATGATCTTCGTAGAAAGCCTGCATGCAGCTTCAAACAAAATATTGACCAAGATGTCATTCCAAGATTCCATTGCCTGCATCCAAAAACAGCGTACAATGAAGTTTAATATTACATAGGAATGCAAAATGGAAATCATGACCGGCACCTTCAAGGTCTCCAGGCGAAGTTGATCCATCCTGCCTTGTCTCCCCTTTGGTGACATCTACCCATCAACGTCTGAAAGCCGAACAGCTAATATAAATAAGAAATATCATGTCACAGTTGCCTCCAAACAAGTTTTCAGCATGAACCATAAAAACATTGATTGAGCAGAGGAAGCGGACCTGCGGGAGTCCCTGGCCCACTCTCATCATGATCACCATATAGACCACATTGCTCCGTCAGCTCATGGCCTGATTCAGCAGATGCTAGTTTGTGCCGTCAGTTTTTCCTGGAATAAAAACAGTAAAGATATCCAGAAATGACTCAGAAGCGTACCCCAAGAGGACAGTGCTCGTTTCATCTTCCATCAAATATGCCCACCACTCCTGAGCTGGAGGTGTGAAGGTTAGGCCAGCATAACTTGTTAATTATGGTTCCACAACTTGTCAATTAGTTGAAATCCAAGGTTCACAGTGAAATCTCCAGGAAATTGCCAACGTATAGCAGCCATGGCTCCAACACCGCCATCCCTAAAACATATATGCATATGCACATAAATAATATAGTATCAACATATATCAGCATGTATTGGCCATCAGACTCTTCAATTGTCAACTTGATACTCTCTATCAGTCCTCCAGAGGCCCGCTGGGAGCCCAACCACGCCACAAAACAGTCTTTTGATAAAGACGGTTTTTTTTATGGTCGTTGACTCATAGGGTATATATTAATGGTTTAGTGTATATTACTATATATGGACTCTTGCTGTCATATGCTTTCATGGCCTTCACAAGACACAACTGCTTGATCTCGTCCCTCTTCTCTGCGCCACCAGGAGTTTGCCTCAGCCTGGCCCACGCTCCTTGGCCCGACTGATCAGGCCCCACTGGCTCAAATCCAGCGGGCCCAGGTGTAAGACGTCAACCTGTACCAGGACCCACAAGGGGTGGTTAATGGGCACCCCTCAACATCTGAGGGGCTATCTATAGAAGCCCCTTAGGGTGTCCTGGTACGCTCGTAAACAAAACGAACGACGTCACCCTGCCCCTGAAAGGAACGAACACGCGCCACGAGAAGGATCCACCGAACATGGAAGAATCCTGAACAGAGTGAGTCGGTCAACAGAACCCCCACCAGTAGAAAAATCCATCACGTCAAAATCCACCAGAAGAACAAAAGAGCCTCAAACACACCATGACATGCAACAAACGTAACAAACAAGCCCTGCCGCGAAAGCACGAGAGGTGGCACAGAGCGCCATTGACCATTCGCACGGGGCGCCGCTGGTTCGATTCCCCCGGGAGATGTGGGAGACCTGAATTCGGGTTCGGGTAAAGAAAAACGGGTCCATGTTCCGGTTTCTGCGTCTACCAGGAAACCATTCAGAGCAGTCTCCCAAGTTGGAGCTCCCAAGTGAGTTGCAGCCCCCGTTCTTGTATCAAAAAGACCTGATATAGAAAGGTTTCTGGAACACAGATCCCTGTGGCGTCTTTTTAAAGCACGTGTTCTGTTGTCCTTCATATTTCCCATCCGTCATCCTTGCACGTACAAAGAACCTTGAAAGGATGCTTCTTTTTGCACCATTCTTCCACGCCGGACTGACTCTTTCACTGCCTGGCACTCAAAACTGCGCACGAAAAACTGCACGCGTGGTCTGCGGTCGTGCTTGGGTGCATGGGTGCATGCCCTAAAACTTCCACATACTCTCTGAGGTTCAGTACGACTGGACCCGACCCTGGCACCCTCACACTGTCTTCTCCGTCCTCACCGTACGGCTTCGGTACCCTCCAACGGATTCCGCACATCGTCGGCTCGCACCGAGACCGTGCCACACGTCCGAGGCTCAAGGCTTTCCTGGACTCTGAACGGACCAAATCCAGCCACCCGGCCGAAACGTCGCGGACACCGGAAGCATGGACTGTCACAAAGTGCAGAACAGTACCGTTTCACAGTATAGACTTTGTAGATAAAAGTGAAAGACGGTACTATGCACTTTCACAAAGACGTATGTTTTTTGGTTCACAACAGTTTTGTTGGAAGAGTGGGCAAATTTTACAGTTACTCTCCAAGTCATTGACATGAAACTGGAAAACCATTTAAATGTGTTGGTCTTCCCGGTGCCTAATTTTCCCCTTCCATGATGATTTCAGGGAATGTAAACGTGGGATGAGGAAAAAAGACATGGACCCCTGAAAATGGTGTGACGGCTTGTGCTTTCCCCTTCTTTCAGGAATCTCAGCAACTCTTAACACCAGGCAGCCAGTTTGCACTGGACGCTGGATGCTTTGCTTTCTGGCCATGACCCGAGGTGAAAAAGCAGCACAATTTTTTCGGATGCAGGTCTGCTGGGAGCAAAAGCCGGAGTTCTTTTTTTTTAATGGAGGAAGGGTAAGGCATACATATGCAACAATGATATGCCAACGTGCGCAATGAAAAGACCTAGTAGCTTTTTGTGACTAGTAGCGATGCCCTTGTTGCTAGTCGCTTCTTGTTCCTAGCAGTAATGCCAGGAGCTACTAGTAGCTGTTTGCTCCGTTCGTAGTGATACCCTTTGTTACTTTAATTCCATAGAACTCCCAGCAACACTGAGGGGCTCAGAACGGGGAGCTCCGTCTTTTCCTGAGAGATCCGTCTCTTCAAAACGAATCGCCAAGACACCGGCAGCCACGGATGCGCAACGAGGATGACAGATGAGCAAACTTATATTCTAACGATATATGAGTTTGTATGATGTGAATATAACATTTTGTTTAAAGAGTTATATGGAGAAGGAGGAAGCATCAGCCACATAGACCATGAGGAAGGGCTTCAAGTAAAGACGAGTTAGAGGAACATGTACATATATATATATACTATATATATATATCCGAACTGTAAGGATGTGGAAGCAACGGATTCGCTGAAAGGAGGACTGGAGTTGAAGATCTTCTGTGTGGGACACTGGGCGCAGTCACTCCATTCACCGCAAGCGATTGGGCAGGCAATGGCCTTTGACGGAGACATGGTCTTGTGGAAAACGCCAGGCGATGGACGCCATGTCCGGATCAAACCACGACGGTTTTGTCGAATTGATAAGTCACAAGATATCATATTATATACTGTACTTACAGTACCCAAACTTGTATCAATCAATGTACACTCCCGCAAAAACCAACATAGACCCTGACGTCCTGGCCCCCTGAAAGAGTGTTTTCCTCTACCAACCAGTGGTTTTCAGGGTCCATGTTAGTCTTCCAGGGTGTATCAACAATCCTTCAACCTTCCGACTGCTGGGCGGGACCTCGCCATCCATCCCACCCCATCCCGATCCCCTCTGCGGCCTCGAGGCCTCTATGCGACACCAACGGCCCCGGACCCCCTGCCCGTGCGCTCCGCCTTGGCCGCGCTGCTGCGGAGCAGCAACGTGCCACGCCATGCCACGCCCGTGCCGCGGCACGGATGGAGGGACCGGTTCTTGAGAGTTGGCGGCTGATTTCGGCACGCAGGTGACAGGCGCCGTTGCTGTTGAGCTCTGAGACCGGAATGTGCTGAAATCCAGGTCGACTCATCTGCAATGAAGGTGAAGTTGAAGCTCGGAAGCTCAAGATGAAAGCTGAGGCAGGGCCCCGAGTTTTCAGAACTTCAGAACTAGGTAGAGGTCCCTTAAGGTTCTGGTCTATCCTAGGTGATTGCCAACTTGCGCCACATCCTCTCTGAGAGATCCAAGGGATCCACATCCTTTGACTGAGGTTCGGTACGACTGGACCCTCCAAACCCTCCAAAGCCTCACACTGTACACCTCACCGTACCTGAGGTTCGCTACGAAAACGGGTCCCTATAGGGAGAGTGGAAAACGTTGCTTTTGGGCGTTCTGTTGTACATTGGACCGTGAAGTTCCAACAGATCCCTCGCAAGGCACGCGGCGGACCGCCGGAGAAGATGAAAGGAAGATCGTTTAGACCCAGCATTGCTCCAGGTGCCTGTTTGCTGAGGTGGGTTGAGGAAGAAGAATCGACCCAAGCACAGCTGTAAGGGCTTCGGGTTTAGAGTTCACTTTGTTTGAGTTCTGAACACTGGAAGAAAGAACATCTTAAAGCACAGCTCCATACCCTTAGCTTTTGGTCAGCCGCTATGGTTACATCATGTTGGGTAAGCAGGGGGTTTGCCCGTGAAGCAACATGCCAAGGCGAAGTCAAAAAGAAAACACACGCGTTACGCGTTTGACCGTGAACCATGCGTGTCGGGCTAGCCAACTCAGCTTCAAGACGATCAGCCGAGTCGAGCTTTAAGAAATTCTTTGCTACGTAGTCTCTCACAACGCGAGGAAGCAACGGCGGCACTCCTGCACTCTGGTTGAACCCCGTCCGTCCCCATGCCATGACCGGTGTACCTTTGACCTGGCGGACAGGTGTCTTGCATAGCTTCTTATAGATGGTTTGGTTTCATTGCTTCAAGCATGGAGTGCAAGCGATCGTTGGCTGAACCCCAAGGCTGACAGGCCATCCATCCACGTGCGCACTCGGGTCATCAGGACCATCAGGACCCGCTTGTGCCCCCTCCGTTGACGGTGTCCGAAACGACCACCAACAACTCAAACAAACGTGAAGACGCAGGCTGGGTCCGAAGCCACGCCTTCCGCATGAGTTCAACCAACAACTTAAACAAAAACCATCAGCATCAGATGCGACTTTCGAGGAATTTGCAGGGTAACAACCAGCCAAACACGTCACACGTGCCATCGACCGACGTGGACACGTCCCCAAGATCGGTCGCATGCCGGTCGCCGTCGGTCGCCTGGGTCAACCGAAGCAGGTGCCGAAGCAGGTGCCATTCCATCGCTGAACCAGGCGGGAAGCTGGAATTGTTTTGCTTGGGACCTGCGACTGAGAACGTTATTCGTTCCAGTTCCAATTCGGGGTGCTTGGACTTCACTGTAATCATTCCCCATTGGATCTTGGGCGCCACTCGTTGGATATTGGACGCCACTTTCGCCATTGTGATGAACGTCAGACCTTCACAAGTGTCGAAATCCTGAAGATCTTGCAAGTGATACGATCTCCTCACCTGCTTGACAGTGCATGATCCAAATCCAGCACCTCAGAGTCCTCCCATTCACCCATTTTGCTTCAACAGGAAAAGAATGCAATGCATGTTGTCATGCTTTTCTCGAACATGAGCTCCCACACAGGGGACTGACCTGTGGCAGCATTTGTGTGTTCTATGACAAAAGATGAGGTTTAATGCTTATCCTACCAGCACCCTCCAACGCTACATAAATATTTGCCTCCCCATGCATTTGATACACAAATCCCTCTTTCGTAGCACATTGTCCAAATCGTAGCTTAAAAAACTGCCTCGAGCAGTTTGTGCTGTTTCGAGCACTTTTGCCTACAAGTGGTGGCCAGGTGTGTTTTCCAAGAAACCCCTCAAGCCTTTAAGCCATTTTGGCTCTTAGTCTCCTTTTACCTGATGAACTGGAGCCAGTGCGCCTTATGAGGATCTTCTGTGTGTGTGTCAGTATATGCATACACATGTGAATGTCGACATATGCATGTGGTGAAATAGTCCGGCACAAAGAACCCATACCTGGGCAGCGGAGGTACATGTTGATGGGCCTATAGATTGGCGAAGAGCATCGCCAGGTACGCCCCTACTCGGCTCAGGAGTGGATTCCTACTCGGCTGCTGATTACCTTCTATTTTTCCAAAGGCATTTGGCCCTGGTACTGTGATAGGTTTTAGAGGAGAAGGTGCCATGGCTTCTCCGGTGGTAGAGATGTGGGCGGCCAGTGAGACTCTGATGGGTCTAGCTGTGACTGGTCGGCTTGCAGTGACACCGAATGAAAAGTTGACCCGGGATGATCTAGTTCTCAATGAGGAGGTCTTAACTCCTCTTCTCAAACACCTCGGAGTTCGGGTGACCTTATCCCAAATCCAAGAACATGTTGACCTTTTCCTGCACTATGCAAGACCAAAGGGCAAAGCAGCACTTCCCCGTTCCTTTGTCCAACAATTATTTGTGCATGACTTTGTAGTTTCTATCTGTGATGTGTGATTCCTAGTGATTTTGGGATGCTACAGGGTGAATCCCAACACCTGCGCTCAGGTAAAGTTGCAAAGCTTCAAGCTTGGAAGCTCAAGCGGCTAATCAGTGTTTTCTCTCGGCTTGCGAAGCGGGGACACTATCCTCGTGACAAAGCAATCCGCCGTATGTTCAAAGACTCGAACATCCCGCTACCCTCTGACCCGCGCCACTTTCATTAAATTATGCATGCAATGGTGTCTTGTGGGTTCCCCACCTTAGCCTCTTGCCACTCCCTGGCTGCCAAGGTGCCAGCTCAAAGGATTTGTCGGAATCGGATGGCCTGGCCGAGGAGGGTGAGGAGAGTGAACAGGTTACTGAACTTTGGTTGCAAACAATAATATATATAGAAACTGCATGGAAGTCTAAAGGGTATTGTCTTAAAACATGCTCTGAAACTTAGGACACTGAAGTGGAGGTGAGTGATGTGGAGCCAAGCCTTGATGAGAAAGCAGGTGCAAATCCCAAGTGTAGGTGTTTAGTTTTATGTTTTTAGAACTGCCAAGTGTGCACATGTTTGTGATTTCCGTTGTCTCTGATCTGCATGTAGGTGAATTGCGGGTCGAGAATGTGGAGGCACTTGGGAGCCCCAAGATCAGAGATTGCTCAACTTCCACTCGATCTGGTGTTTCTGGCTCTTCTTTGGTGACTCCCCCACCAAGAGGAACCTTTGTTTGCACACATGGATGGGTTGCAAAAAGACTGCTGCTGCACTTATATTCTTACGTATCTATATTATACATATCTTTGCTTTTTGTTTGCAATTCCCAGGAATCACTACTCCAGCGCTGAGTCCTGAGAAGGCTAGCAAGACAAAGGACTCAGGGGAAGGGGCTATCAAAATCTTTTTCTCAGAGGGCTGGCTGACTGTCTTGGGCAAAGCTGTCAAAAACAGGGATTGTGAGGATTGGCAAATTGTGTCCCATGATGGGAGCAAATTCCGCTTCAATAGTGCTGGTGGGCTTTCTTCTGTTCCTGAACCAAATCAATTCCCGTTGACAGTGGAACCAATTCCTGAGCAGCAGCTTTTGGACGAGCTTGAGATCCTGCAAATGGAGCAGGAACTGCTTGAGGAAACGCTACGTCTTGAGGAACTGGAAAAGCTAGAGGTGGAGGAGACAAAGTCCCACCTGAATTCCACCATTCCTGCTTCAAGTGATGTTGCTCCCTCTTCTTGCTGCTTGGTGGCTTTTTGCAAATGACATCTTGCATATTGTAGCCCTGATTTTCTTTAGTTAATTGTTTGTCCAATTTTCCCAGGTTTGGACTTTGTGGAGACCCTCCCATATGATCATGCCTTGGCAGCTGATCACCTGGTCATTCCGGAAGACAAGGACTGGAAAAATAATAGAGCAAACAGGCACTCAATTTTTCTTTGTGCAGGAGCCCCTGACTGCCGAGAAGCCCAAGACCTTTGCCCAAATGGTTCGTGGCTGTAGTTCCGCTACTCTTGTGTATGGACAAGTTGGGTCTGATGGTGAGAATGGTGAGAGGGAAGAGAAGTCTCAGCCTGAAGCTTTACCTGCGCATGGGAGTGAGGTGCAGAAGGCTGAGTGTGAGGCAGTGGTCAAAGGTGAGGTGAAGTGTGAAGCAAAGGATGGCTTGTGTGAGGAGACGGAGGGTGGAATGGAGAAAATGGTTGGTGAGGTTGGCATATCTCATGAAATCGCGGGGGTCACTGCGGCAGTGAGCGGCGAGATTTCTCACAATGTTGAGGCGGTTGAGGGTGAGGTGAAAGGGACTACTGAGATTGAGACTGGAGAAACAAAGGCCGGTGTCGAGGGCAATGTTAACCAGATCGTTGAGGTTGACAGCAGTGATGCAAAAGAGACAAAAAGCACTGAAGAAGAAAGTGCAGATCCTGGATCAGAATCTTGCCGTCCAGCCTGCCTTGAACATATTGCCATTCTATCGCCAAAGGATCAACAAGCAGAAAGGAAAGCGGAGAAAAAGAAGACTCGTGGAAAAGGCAAGAAAAAGAAGAATTGTGAGGAGACAAATGAGGAGGATGAAGATGAAGATGAATGCAACAGAGTTGCAACCGAGCCTGCAAGGAAGAAGAAGGAGAAGACTAATGGTGGCTGTGATGATGCAACCACACAAAAGAAGAAGCAAAGAAAAAGCCAGGCTGATGATTGCGAGGAGAAAGCTGCAGGAAAGGGCAAGAGTGGAGACAAAAAGAAAAATGAAAAGGATTGCAAAGCGACAGCCAAGACAAAGAAGGAGAAGACCAACAAGGAAGATGTGGAAAATGACAAGCCAGCAACCAAGAAGCAAAGGAATGCTGCCAAGGATGAGGCTGACAAGAAGACTGCAGCAAAGAAAAACAAAAAGGATTGTGACGAGGAGGCTGGTCATGAAGAT